CATTGAGGATGTCATAATGCACCATTGACTCTATGTGGCTTGTGGTCACCACAGTATTAACATATGGCCAACATGTGGTGATACCACACACCCTTTCACGTAACCAAGACAGCTTGAGAAATCTATTGGTGTATTTCGTAAAATAAGATGCCATGCTCTCATTAAAAAAAAAGCACCTTCCTTACCTCTATCATTGTCATTACAGGCCCTATGTAAAGGCAAGCTTGATTACAATCACAGTCAAACCCACTTATAACTATACAAGTTTTAACAACGTATTGGTCATAACAATGAAAAGCGGCTGCACCGTCAGCTTTTGTATGTTTTTCATAGTAAGATAACCCGCTTACAGCAATGCCCACATCCTGTTATCGGTTATAACAATGAATTCTGGCTGTCGGATGTCTTTGCTAAATGGTTACAGAATGTGAAGTTCTTGAAAATAAAGAAGAAAACCAGAAATTCAAGCAGCTGAACTCCCGTCTACAACCCCAACGCTCCCCAATGCCTTGTTCATGATAAGCTATTAGCCCCGAGAACGAACAGTGGCGTCGCTGCGATGTGACGTCACGGCAAGGACTCACTTTCTCTGCTGGCGCTTGTCACCTTTTCCGTGCCCGCCATGTACATGCTCTTAAGAGACACGTTGCAATTACTCCTCAATTTCGTGACACAAATTTTTCAAGATGCAAAATGCAAGGTTTCACAACTAGTGAAAGTTTCTGATGCTGTAGGAAGTTTCCATAATTTAGCTTAGGATAGGCAGACTACCGTCCGATCAAACGGAAGATTTACTGCAAAAATGGTGATACAGGAAAAGACATTCATTTTTTTTATCGCGTACACCAGGGAATGGGTGCTAAAAAATATGCTGAGTGGTACTAACGTGATGACAACTAGGCATAGACTCCGGGATTAGAACATATTTGTGCCAAAGTATCAAATGAAATTGGGATGTTTTCAATTCACTAAATACATTCTGCTTTATTGTACAAGCTATGCTTGCATCTGGGAATAATATAAATGATTTGACAGAACTGCGCTTTCTCCAGCAGGAGACATTACATGAATATGACTGCCATAAGCACTCACTTAGCATAGTTGTCAAATGAACAAAATAATACTGCCGCACACACAATGATTTGGAAATAATGAGATATTTTCAGTTTACTGGGATCATATGTACAGGCTTCTTCTCAACAGTCGCCAGAGATTATGTAGTCGTACACCCTAATTTGTGTGAAATGCTGGGGTGTTCTACCGCCGATAGCAACAATTTCACCACAAACGTCCGAAAGTCTAAATGAACGTTTTTTTTCATGATGTAAAAAATCCTGCGCAAATGCGACACAAAAAAGAAGGAGGAGACATGTTGTCCTGTCTCCTCCTTTTTTTGTGTGTCATCTTTTGCACTGGCTTTTTTGCATCACGGAGCCTAGCCAACTCCCCCAGTTTTGTACGCTGCTGCAAAACTTTTTTTCTATAACGCACTCACTGACATGGCCCATGCAGTAACGTAACAAGGGAATGGTGCACTGGACCGGTGCAGTGATGGAAGTGACTTTTTACTTTTTGGAGCATACTTTGGAGCAGGAAAAGTACTACTCTGGAGCAACTATAAAAGTTTTCGAAGCAGAAAAAATGCTAGTTTACAGCAGCTACTAGTGTTTTAGGAGAAGATAATACATTCGCCATGCATTTATTGGAGTTCAGAGCATTGTCGAAGCATCTCCTAAATATTATTTATTGTGAAATGTATTTAGCAGACAAAAATCAAAGAAAATTTCATTCTGCAAACAATGGCAGGTTGTCAAAAATGTGCTGTGAAATGAGCTACAATTTAAAGTACTAGTATTTAGGGCAGAAATCAAATTAAACCAGAAAAGCTAAGTACCACATTTTAGAAGTAACCACAGTACCATATAAGTGTTGCCAAACGAGAAGTAAACAATAGGTATGAGATAAAAGCAATCCGGCTCATTTTCACATTTCACCACACTGGCCTGCATTACCAGCTGAGAAAAAAAAAAACCAGCCAAATGACCTATATGGTCAATATGAAAGTTGTGTCGCACAAATGGCATAAGAGCCGATAATGCTGCACACTAATAGCACACTGATATGAAGCTACACCAATTCTTCCTAAGGACTTATGAGTTGATCAAAGAGTAAAAGTTTGTCACTCTCATTCTCCTGTCATTTCGTAGCAGCTTTGGAGCAATTACCAACAAAAATTACTGTTCGGAGCAGCATGAAGCAACATTTCTCTTTTGAAGCAGTTTGGAGCAACTGGAGCAGCACTTCCATCACTGCCAGTGCCTTAGCCCCAAAATTTTTCCCTATGCATAGAGAAAAACGATCATTTCAAGGGGGTGCCCTACCCCCCCCTCTAAAAAAATTAAGCCTATAGGCTTCTGAGCCCATGTAATAATTAATCAACCTTCACCTCGATGAGGCGATGACTGGTCTTGCACATCATGTCCACCAATAGGTAATCAACTGCAAGAAAATTCAACATATGAGGTGGCTATCTAAATTGGTAGTTTCAGCACGACCTCACCGTCGCTAAAATTGTGCAAGACAGAATCTGACAGTAATAGGAATTTCTGCACCTAATTTCAACCGCACAAAACCTCAATAATTTTGGTGAAGTAAAGCTTCAAAGTTTTGCGAGAGAAACTTGAAAGTAAACAAAGTTTTGAGTGAGCAAGTACGAAAAAAACACCACAGCAGTGGTGGTATTATAGGGCGAGTGTATTGCGATATATGTTGCGAGACTCGATACTGAACGCGAGCGCGGGGCTCGACGCACAGGCCTGCGAAAGCGCTGTTCGTAGATCCGTGAATTTCTCTGGCACAAATTATTCTAGTGGAGAAGAAGCCTTCATATCCCCGAAAGGAATCACCCATGCACATTTCAACCTCATAATGTAGATATGCTGTCCTAATTCCTTATCAAAATCACATGATAATGCGGCAATGAATTTGTTGTATAAAAACAGAAGCGTGTTCATAATTTTCACACCCCTCAAAATGCGGCTGTCGTGGCCACGAATGGAATCCATCATCGGGGTTAGCAGTGCGACACGTTTTGACTCCTTTGACATTGCTATGTGACTAAGCGCGTGATTGTGCAGAAGCAAAAGTGAACTTTTTATTGTTTTACCTGAAACATTACCAATTCTGTTTTCTTCTATCATCTGCAGCTTGAGACAAAGCAAACGCAAACCACAGAGTAGTGCACGGCATTAACTTAGGCATGCCGCGGCTGGCATCGAAGAGTCCGTGCCGTGACGTCATCTACCAGGCGGCGCCACTCCAATTTCTCGGGGCTAATACCGCGTAGCGTTGCGGCAAAGCTGACTTTTTAAATCTCCTATGACGCGGGAGCAGCAATGGCTTCTGTTAATACATTTTTGGACATGCAATTTCAGTAAAAATTAAAGCTAAAAAGACTTTCGGCAGTCAGAGTTTCACATGTTATCATACAGTGACTTTATGTGGCTTGTGGCGATACTGTGAAAGCTTCCAAATTTTCAATGATATCCAAAAAATCAGCAGCTTTGTAATTCTTATCACTGATGTCTGTTAGAATATCTCACCTGATATTATAGTTTTTTTTCATAACACAGGGGTGCAACAGCCAAAATAATTTTTGGAGCAGTAAAATCTTACTTTTGGAGCAGGTTACGGAGAACAAAACAGTCATTTTCTTATCCTAAAATACCAAATTTGCAGCAGTATGACGAAGAAGTCTTACATTTAGAAAAAAATATGTATTCAACACGCCCTAAATTGTGCAGTGTGAGTAAGAGAACTGCTATTTAAATAAAGTAGTATTTTGAACCACCCCGCTAAGGAAATAATGATAACGTCCACATTAGAATTTGCTGCGTCTGACTTTGTGGATTCAAATGTGGATCTGCCAAGCTGGCGACTTTGAAATTCGGGAGATTCATAGGGGTAGCAAAAAAAAATGACTGTGTTTTTTGGGGGGGGTGCCATAAATGTCATACACTGCTCCAAATAATTGGCAGTAACTTTTTCAGATGTCAACAATCCCACTAGTACTCACAATTATGCACCATATACACACGAGTAATTGAACAAAATGTGCTGTGTCCCATAATTGGGACTAACAGCCCATTCAAAATCATAATGTGCTTTTCGGCAGGGCGCTGATGTACTGCGGCGAAGGTGAATTAAAAAGCGATCTGCACGAGTTGGAACAAGTTATGAAACACTGCTATGCACCCCGCTTCTCTTTTTTTCACTTTTTTTTGCGATGGGATTAGGTTTAGGACACAGCTTGGCTCACTTGCAAGGTGCGTTCGCCAGACAACGTAACAATGGCACGCTTTTGTTGGTTGGGCGACGGCACTGGATATCTATCGCCGTGACGCCACTTCCAAGACAGAAAAACGTTTTATGTGCCGTTGCTATGGCAACGCATATAAAACATATGGTTGCTATCGAAGTATAATATACGCATGTTCTATGCTTTGCAACTTAATTCCTCAAACTGCAACCAAATATATATATATATATATATATATATATATATTCACAATTCATGGCCTAAGTCAGCTTAATTTATTAAAGGGGCTGTGCAGCACTTTCTTAAGTAATCATTGAATGACTATACTATTAGAGTATACTCTTTCGCAAAATCTTTCAAATCTGTACAGTATTAAGCGGAGTTACAGGAATTTGTTGCACATTTTAAGCAATTTCTTTCTCCTTTATTTTCTTTCCTTTAAGCACTTGCTTTCTCCTTTGTTCTTAGCTCATAATCTATCATATACGAATGTTCTATTCTTTGCAACTTAATTCTTCGAACTGCAACCAAGTGATTCAACTCTTTGAGGGGCCTCTATTACTCCAAGTGGTTGAAATGTCAAAAATTATAGCAAACTAGACATGCATACCATACATGCCATAAACATGCAAACAAACCTTCAACAGCCAAAGGAATAAAATAAGGGTCCTATAGTGCTCACTTGATGGTCTCTCCAGCGAATTCCAGAAGCTGAGTAATCTTCACTTTCTTTTCTGGTGCTTCTTGCGGACTTGTGGTAGAAGAAGATGGTTTGCTCGGCTCCTTCTAATAAAACGCCAAAACAGACACAATGCTCATTTTATTTATATGTTAAATTTCTCCTTAATAATTATATTATACAGGGTGGCTCAGCTATCTTTAGCCTGAGTTTAAAAATATGCCGACATGCGCAATGACGATGCGATCAAATGCATGTTGCTGACTGTTGCCTGGAGTGACTCATACTAATATTTGTGTTCTGATTAATTGCCTAATTAGATCACTTTTATTAATTAACTTTTTAGGCAATGAAACTAGGCCAGACATTCCAATGACAAAGTTGTTCATTGGCTTGCAAAGCATCTGATTATACAGTTTCCAGCTTTATATTGTGTGACACACTTTGTCAATATCTGTTAATTTTTAGGGTCTTCCTACTAACTGCAAATGTCCGTGAAATGCAAAAAATACCATGTGACAAGCCTGCTCACATGCCAGAGTGCACAATGATTGTAGTGCTCACTAACATTCAGTATACAAACGACCATAGCATTTGCCCGATTGTGCTGTCTCGACAGGGCCACAACAATGGTAGTGGCTTTGCGACGAACACGTTTCTATATCAGCCACAAAAGCGATAACCGCTTTGACTGCTTACCACTGTCATGAACCAGTGCGAAGGAAGCTTATCGTTCGTATGCGGATTGTTAGGAAGCACCAGAATCACGCGGTATATTTTTTTTGTGTTTCGCGGGCATCAGCAGTTAGCAGAAAAACACTCATAAATAACAGATATAAAGTTTGAGACTGTCTGGTCAGACAGTTTGGAAAGCAATGTACAACTTTCTCATTGAAATTTAGACCCATCTACGTTCTTTCAGAAATTAGTTAGTTAAAATGGTCTAATTACACAATTGATCAAAGCATAAAAAATAGTCTGATTCACTCCAGACAACGGTCAGCAACATGCATTTGGTCGCATCTTAATTGCATGTGTTGGCATATTTTAAAACTCTCGCTAAAGATAGCTGAGGCACCCTGTATGAAAAGCATTCCATGCAGCATAAATTTTTTTCAGGCAAATGAAAATTTTACACCATGATTTATTGATAGCTTGGTTATAGCCATGAATTGATTGAGCGACCTTGTGCTCGGCAACAAAATGCCTTATAGCACAATTCCTTCATGCAGCAGTAACTCACACCTCTGGGAGGGTTTCATGTCATTTGTATCTATGGGCATTCGACACATGAAATTACATTAGGTGCAGTGCACTGATATATGGCAGGATATAATGTTATTTCTAGGCAATATTCCTAATGCGATGAGAACTGGAATCAACAAAAAAAATTGGTATGCACATCAAGTGCAAGTAAAATTTTTTTTTGAGCAAAGGTCTGTTAACTGACTGACTGCTGCTACTGAGCAAATGGCATGACATGGCCAGAAACTCTCTCAACAATATCACTGGAACGAGTATGCTCAAACTCATCACAGCTACTACATCGATTGAACTGTTTGGCAAAAATAAAACACTGCACTTGAAATAAAATATTAATTGTTATAACAAATGATTTACACGTTATGTAATTTGTCCATGGCACCTTTGCAGTGAGGGCACTCATTGATGACAGAAACACATTCGAATACATTTAGCAAACTCATTCATTTATGCAAGTAATCTTCATTTAATGACATTAAACTTTATTGTTTGATAGGGCTATTAGTAAAATTGAGCCCACATATATCGAACTCACATGAAATGAATTATTTTGTATACCAAACAGTAGTAAAATCCCCTAGAATATATTTTCATTTTATAAAATATTTATATATTGATTTACAAACATACCTCCTTATAACAAAGTTGCATCTTACACAAAAATTTGTTTTAATGGTATATTTTTAACACTATATATATCGCAAGACTATTTTTCATTTACTTCATTACAACCAATATTTCGTTATATCTGAATTCATTATATTGAAGTTTGAGTGTGCCTATATATAGAACTTTTTTTGTGATCCCTTTTGAATTTGATATGTCTATGTTCAACAGTACTCTGAATAATAATAAAAAAAAAACAATGGCTAAAGAGCCAAGAATACTGCGAGCCCAAAGCAACATAGACATCCTGCATGGTCAACCACTGTTGTTCTGTGATAAGAGGTTGATTATTAGAAAAGAAAAATGAAGTCTGATTTTCGTTTTTAAAACCTTGTACTGAAATCTCACTGCTTGTAGGCATGTAAGTGAGGCATTTTCTACTACAAAGGATTTCCTAATGCCTTGGTTGTCATGAATGTAGTTGGGAAGCTCAGTACCGTATTTACTCTCGTAGTCCTCGCACTAGCGTAATTCTCACACCCCCCACATTTCCCAACAAAATAAGATTTTTTTCACGGTTAATTATCGCACCCCTGAAAATTGCAGCCGTAATACTGTCTGCTCCTTTCAACCACTGATGATGATAGCGTGCAACAGACTATCAACGCACGGAGCCCCAATCCAATTTAAGCCAAGCCAAAGTGGCAAGTGTGCAGTGCTCGCATGCACATACGTTGCGTTTGTTCTGTGGTTACGTTACGAGGTGATACGGAAGCTACATGGGTGCTTGAAAGTGAAGTTGAAAGTGATTGATCATGCACTAACAGCAACAGGGCCTCTGATAGGCACTTTGGAGTCGACGAGTTTTGTGTTTACTACTGGCGATGGCAGCACGGGCAACTGAAAGCCACCAAGACGCTATTCAATGTGCCTAAGACTGGGATGGATGCTAAAACTTTATTTTGTCACAAGGCTGACGGCGCACGCTGACCTTTTGCAAGCTCCCATTCAGTGATGCTATGCCCGCAAGCTTTGTATACGGTATCCCGAAACTCTCTACTACTTGCTTGGCACTTTTGTGTCTCAAATAAATCTTGCCTTGTGTTGAACCTGTGGTTTTATTGTTAAGTCTTGATTAGTACTTCTTAAAGTTAGTTGCTAGCATGAGAATCCTGATTTGTGGCTACTTAGTTTTTTCTTTTTTTTCTCCCCACTCCATACGTGTTCACGAAAATTTGTCCTTGTGTAATTCTCGCACCACCTAACTTTCCATAGATTTTCCAAAAAAAAAAAAGTTTGAGGACTATGCGGGTAAATATGGTAATTGTTTCTCCACCTTCTCCCCCCGTTTGACTATGAAGTGCTTCTATAGATTGCAGGGGATTATTCTTCAAATGCAGAATCTAATTTATCATATTAAAGGATGGTTGCATGGCTCCTTTAAGCATTATGTAATGCTCCGACTGCATAGCATGCCTATGCAATATCCTGCTCACCAGTAGCACTCAGATACTTTCAAAGACTAGCGTGCACACAACCTGACAGACAGCCAGGGATTATTTGTGCAAATTTAGAAAAGTAGAAAAATAGCCTCAAGAACTGTTTTATTAAATGACAGGCCTGTGCAGAACACGCAACACAGCCACAGTGAAATCTGGAGGAGTGTCCTTTCTAGAGCTCAATGTTAATTGTTTTGGGATGACTACTACAAGTACGATTGCAAGGAACTCACTACGCCAGAAATAATGAGAATTTTGCGAAACAAGGAAGTGTCCACAATGCCACTGTTCATACGTCTGCGGAGAAGTGTGGTACCCACTGCATATACCGCATGTACACAAATGTAAGCAGACTCAAATGTGGGTCGACCCCCCTGAAATCGCATGGCAAAGAAAGAAAAAAGGAGTTCGACACCTTTCATTAAAAAAAAAAAAAAAAACTCCAGTGTGCCAAGTAGGCTTCATGGCACTGTTTAAGAGTTGTGCAGAAAAGCTAGCTTCACAAAATTATGCAGGATTATATTTAGAAAGACTTGGTAACCGGGAGTAGTTATCTGTACTAGGTAGAGCCCCTAACTGCGGATTTCAAAATTAAGATGACAAAACGGGTCGACCTGCAATTGTGTAAACATGGTATGTGAGTCATTATGTGCACCTCGTTCATGCTGTACCTGATGAATTACGGAAAAGCACATTGTTATGAGTGGGAAGCTTCAAACCAACCACCAGTTGTGGCATTTGCATATTGTGACACCTGGTCATTATTTTGCTCCTCTACCATGCTACATTACCTCTGTTAATGTCATTCTGTGCTTGAAATGATGCCTGTATAGGATCTTTTTGCAAAGGAGCTTTAAAGGAGCCCTCCAACACTTTTTAACCCCTCATGTTTTATTCATGGGTTGTGTAGACTGAAGTACAGGCAGAGTAATGCAGCAAAAATGGCAGTGGTAATAACACGCAATCTGAAGTTATTCGACTTTGAAAATTGAAAATAAAAAAAAACGCTGGCCCTCAACTCAATTTTCGCGGGGTCACTTGACCACATTTCACTGACCCATGACGTCGGAAGGCTGCCTCAATGAAATAAGCTGGAAGTGCCACGTAGGGAAGCTCACACCCCACTGTTGCTTGTTTTTTAATTTTTTTTGTTTCCAAAGTCATGTTGAACTTGTTGCCACAGTAACAAGCGTGGTGCCTGACACCTGGCTTGCCAGAATGTGAGCAAGAGCTACTGTGTCGAAGCGAGGTATTTTCTGCTGTTTTTTTACAACATTCCGAGTCAATCTCTCCTTTTATTCTGAGAGAGTAACTTGTGGAACTACCAAGACAGTGAAGTGTTGTTGACCCTACGCACGTTGTTTGGTGAGCCACCCAACGAACAACAATGGTGTACTGCACCCTTTCACTGCACACGTGCGGAAAGAGGCAGCTTGCAAACTCCCAAAAGCAAGAAGAGGAAGGAAAAAGAGAGAGGTCTTTCGCATATATACATCCGACCCGCGCAAGCCAAAAATCCAGAGGCGAAATGGCAGCCAGCGCCCCTTGTCGGCTTTGTAGTCGCGTTTTTTTTTTTTGCTATGGCCGCGTCTGTTCAGGGTTCGATGAAAAAGCACAGAAGAAAAATTAAACAGATTAGTAACCTCAGTTTTGATCCTACATCACGATCGCTTCTAACGTTACATCTATCCAATGATATAGCGGCAACCTTCCAGCGTCATTTCTGCCGACAAAGTTCTGGCGAGCGCCACTACGTGGTAATTCGGTCGGCAGTAGTGACTTTATTGCACGATTAAAATACTAAATCATTTGATATCGGCGCTTGGCCCCACGCTAAAATAATCTTCAGCTATCGGTCTACGCAAACCACAGATAAAAAATACATGCTTCAATAGTGTTCGAGGCCCCTTTAAGCACTGGTGTAGTACTTTGTAGTATATACATGACTGCCACGCAAGGGGCCTGGATTCAAATACCACTTGATCCTGGACAATTTTTTCTCATTTTGATGAATTAGACATAGACAATTGTGGAGACAGCGGACAACTACGCCACCCAAATCATCTGTTATGACCTTACAACATCTTCCACTGAAAAATGAAGAACCTGAGCTTGTGTCTCCATAAACTTCTATAAAATAATTAGTAAAATGTTTCAGTTTCAGCATGAATGCTAAAACAAGCAACTTACAGAGACAGCACTTGCAGCAGGAAACAGTGCGTTTCCTAGGAATAGGTTCAACATCACGCAAGAAATCAGACCACAGATCATCTGCTCGCTTCTTTTCCTCGTCCGGGTTGAGTGCAGGAACTAGCTCCTCGGCATCGTCTGCTTTATCAGGACTTCCGTGTGCTGGACTAACTTCACCCTCCAAATATATTCCACCCTTACGTTTCCTGGTAGAAGAAAAAAAGGACATACACATGCCATAGAACAGTTAGAATTATGCAAATTAATATAGTAAACAGCAAAGTAAACTGAATTCTAACAAATTATGAACAGTTTCATTAGCAATTTTCAGTGTGCTGTGGTAGTACAACGAGATATGATACATAGCTGCAGACTTGATGGTTCTATCCCTGCTGAAGTGATCACATTTCAATGGAGGTGAAATGCGACTAGCCCATGTACTATCTGACGACAGTGCACATTAAAGAACCCCGAGTGGGTCAAATTATCTGGTGGCTTACACCAAGGGGTCAGACAAAAAGTGGGTCACTTTTCGACACTAAACCACATAAACCAACCATTAAGTTTCTTCAATACTTCACTGGTACATGGATCGATAATGTATCAGAAAGTGCACTTATTTTAAGCACCCTAACACGGCAATGTAGTCATTGTGTAGTCGCAAGAAATTTTAATAGTATACTAAATGTCCTGAAAATTTGTAAAACTCTCCTGTATAGTGACAGAACAGGAGGAGACGGAAGTGAGCGCCAGAGTGCGTAGAGAGTCCGCCGTGTAGTCGGCGAAGTTTTGGTCCGTAGGGACGGCTCGAGCTACAGGCAAGAGCGTGAGTTTACCGCTATCGAGCGAAGACGCGGGCAACAGCTGCGTGTGTGAAGCCGACGGATTTCCGGCGAAGAAGTTGAAGTTGGAAGAGTGGCCAATTGAAGACGGGAGGTTTCTTGGAAGAGAGACTTCGAGAGCTGCGGAACGACAACAACGCTGGACTTTGAGTGAGTGATTCTCGGAAGAGTATCATCTCGACTTTGGTTCCAAGAACTTTGGACTGAATAGGTTTCCTATCTCTTTAGTCTTTAAGTATCTTGGTTGTTCAATGCATGCGACTGCATTATAGTGCGTATTGTTGTCCGTGTCCGTGTTTCAAGTGTGGTTGATTGTACTGTGTAGTACATTGTCTGTTTGGTGACGTATTGTATGTAACTATTGTGGAGTGTGCATACGTGTGTATTGTTTTGATCTGCCGTTAATGAGAATATAATTTTGTTTGTTTATCGACTCTCGGCTCTGTCTTGTTCTTTGGGCCACAGCCGGCGTCCGCTGGCGCACCAATAAGGACCACTTCTAAATTGTCCACGCTTTCGTGGTGCGGTTCGGGGGGCCGATACTTCGGCTCTTGGAATTAGCCCGGCGATCGCCTCCCTAATAAACGGGACAGGTGTGACACCAGCATAGCTGCTGTGTAGCACACTTATTTTTCATTTATTTATAAATTGATTAATAATTTTCTACTTTAGCGTATGCTCCTTTAAAGCAATTCCACTTCAATTCACAGGGCCAGAAGAGCAGAACGTGGGTTTACTTGTGTATTTACATACGTTTTGTTAATTTCATTTTTATAACTTTCTTGTTGAGAGGACCAGTGGTGAGTGGCGGGGTTCACAATTTCTGTGGCACACACCTGCTAGGGGTTTTGTGGTAGGTAACTATGGACTTATGATACGTTCATACTTGATATTACTCTCAGGGTCGCAGTAATGCCAACGAATTCGCACACTTAGCCAGCTGATGTTTGAGCTTAGTCTGCATGGCTACAATAATTTTTCTTTTAAACTGAAGGTTGGGACCATATGATGACAATAGTTTTTTGCTGAATAGGTAGCTGCGACGTAGGTGACTGTTGGCAGAGTTACGAATGGCTTGGTTACATACAGCTCCGCTGTAAAAGTAAAGGACCAAGCAGTGAGCGATAGAATGAAAAATTTAAAGCCCGACACCAATAGAGGGGAAGAGAGAATACCGCAAAATGCTGAGCAACCCCCCCCCCCCCCCCCCCCCATTATGAAAGATAATCCAACTAGATTTGGAAGGGGGGGGGCACTTGCTCAGAGCCGGACTGGTCCCATTAACGCTTACTTCAGATCTGAAAAAAGAAGTGGGGGCGCTGGCTCATCACGTTACGGTAGATCAGAAAGTAAACAGGCATAGCCAATATTCTAATTGAGATTAAAAAGGGAAAAGAAAATGCAAAGGGTGGGAGACGTAATGCGTAGGACGCACAATTAGTAGTAAGTTAAAGAAGCCAGAATGGATACTAACGGAGGGGTGAGTTACATAGCTGAGGGCAGCGATGAATAGGGTGAGGTGATGAAATCAAGAAATTCACAGGAATAAAATGCAATGAACTCGCAAAAGATGCGGTAAATTAGATATCATTGAGAGAGGCTTTACTCCAGCAGTGGCCATAGGACAGGCAAAGGATGATGATTATAGTGGGTAGTACTTTGTCTGGAGCAGAAATTGTAATAAATGTTTTTGTGGCCACTTGTGGAGATGCGCTGAAGCTCTGAATGGACACTTAACAGATAAATAGCTCATGCTGGCAAAGTTTACTTTGGTCATCTCTCGCATAGGAAATGTTCTATGACATTAAAGGTTGGTGCACTACCACGGCAAGTTTAAACCTAGAGCCAGAGCAAGAACACAGCGACAGTGGGTAACAGCAAAGATCATAGGCATGTTAATCAATAATGGACAACGTTTTATAACAGCAACAGCCTGAACAAAGTCGTTCCCACACAAGACCGTGAGATGTACTTTGTCGTCTTTTATGAAAGGGAACACATGAGCACGAGGCCGGCGCTCTGCGGCGGCCGCCTTCAGCGCCGCCAACTGACAGCGAAAGAAAACATGTTTGATTTTTGCCGTCATCTATTGGTGAACCAAATAACAAGTCAGGGCCCGTAAACAAGCACTGCTGAATTACGCTCCCTCTCCGATCGTGCAACCGGTGATGCCTGCAGTGCATCGTCTGCTGCGAACAAATAGAGCATGGTGTGCCAGCACTTGTTACATGTAAATGCACCGTCTCTCGGCTTACGCGAGTTGCACTTTGACGAAAACAGAGATGTACAGGTGAGAGGGATGCACGCAGGTGGAGGTGTGGTGGTTGTTTATCACTGAATGATACAGAGTGTCATTCAGTGATATCCTGTATCATCCAAGCTCCATGGCTTCTCCTTGGAGCTTGTATACTTCCATAAGCCACCAATCAATACGTTTCTAAGCTGATTTGCAGCATTATAGTCCTCCAGTGAACAAAGATGAGAATGTTCATGTGAACATCCTTTAGCTTCAGCTATGTCATCTTCCCTGCGTTGTAAATAAATACAGAAATGATATTTTCTCGTGAAAGTCGCTCTAGGAAAAGACTGAGACCTCCTTGCCTGGTACTAATCTCAGAATTCGAGCATGTCCATCCAAGGGCATGAGCGGACATCAAGTAAACGATGGTGGCGATTCCACATTGTCACTACGTATATACAAAACTATGTGCAGCCCCCAATTCCATGAAAACTGCTGCACAGTTTTCAGGCGAGCGGCAGCATTGTTATCAGTTGAGTTTGTGTACCAAGTTCATGTCGAGGAACATCTAGGAATACTGGGACAAAGATAGCAGTGACTGCGCTAGTTTACACAAGTAACACACGGGCTTGACAATGCTGCGGGAGGAAACTTTCGCATACTCAATCCATTGCAACTACAAAACTGCGTGAAAAAGTGACAAGAAACAGAGCAGGAATACACACAAGCGCAGACTAGCAACTGAAAGTTTATTGAAGGATACACATATATAACTAGCAAAAAAAAATGACGTGAAAGATTAGAGGTTGGCAGTGAAATAATCTATCTCTCGTTGGTGCAAAGTCACTGAACGCCTCGCTACACATGTGTTGCCATACTTTAGTATGTAAAAAGCCTCAGCAACTTCTCTCGCTGTTTTATCCCTGTGCCGTTACGACCCCCTTGTTTTGCGAAGTAATGGGTAACACTTGCAATCCCTGCAATGTAGGCGCAGATTCGACAAAGGGTGGGTCTTCAGCGATTCCTCGCCATCTATTAGTCTGTTATTCAAACACCGTTTAATTTGTCCAATATAGCACTCACCACATGACAAGGGGATAAGATACACCGCCCCCATTCCACATTCAACAAACGTTTCCTGGTGACTGACCTCACAATCACACCACTTTTTTTCTTTGCCTTCAATTTTCTTATCCACCGCTGCGCAGACTTAGCCCAACTTATTCCTGAATGAAACAACCAGGTTAACATTTCTTGTCGCTTTTTCGCGCAGTTTTGTAGTTATGAATTACCAACTCGCCCAGCTCAATCCATTGCTTGATGACTTGATAAGAAGCAATGTGCACGTGCTTAGTTCAGTTTTTTTTTTTGTGTGCACCACGAGGAAGAAAACCATCCAGATGGCACACGTGTTCCACTTGAAGAACGATAAAAAGTTAAGCTCAGCACTGCTGGCAGCAGTCAGCGACATATTGCCTCTATTATGAAAAGGCCCCTAGAACAGTAAATAGTATAGTGTAGGCCTTTAAAGAAAGAACACCGTGTGAAGGACGCTCCACACAGGCGCAGACCACGGGCAATGACTGCGGATGAAGACCATGCATTTGTAGCTGCAAGAGCAGCGAGACCACTGATAACATCTCGTAAAATGCTATAGGAACTAAGTATTAGGGCATGCACGATAACTGCGAAGCAGAAGCATCGCCTCGCAGAAGCTGGCCTAAGATAGAGGGTTGCATGCAGGAAACCTCCGATGCGAAAAACAAACCAAGCAAAACAGCTGCGATTTGCAATGGACCACGAACCTTGGACTACCTCTGACTGAGAGAATGGTTTTACTGATGAGAACTTGTTCACGACCCGGTGGGATCAGAGGCATAGAGTGTGGCCCCAGGAAACAGTCGGTAGGTGACGTTTATTGTGTAAAAATATTAACTAAAAATGCTTAAAAACCTCTACCAGACAATTGCCATTTTTATGCAGTTTACGGTACTGTAGTGTTTCATATCGCATATACAGAATAAAGAATTTTATATTTAAGGTGCGGTATGATTATGTTCACTTGTGTTAATATATGGCTGTGTTTGGTGTTAGCACTAACATTATTATCGTCATTCGTATTAGTTCATACTTAAAGCGTGTTTGGCATATCCTGAAAGTATAGACACTGAAAAGGTGGCAGTAGGCTGACTGCTGCCACAGACAGAGGCACACCACCAGGCCAAGTGCTGTCTCAAGATGAGATAATACAAACAACAGTAAGTTTAATGGTATAGGAACACGATTAAAAACATAAATTAGTACTTTAGGTAGACATGGATAGATATTATAAGTATGCGTACTATGTAACCCAACGGAGTTACACATTGTTGGCATAAATGAAATGTACTCAAGATAAGTAATGTGACTGTTGATCTGCAGTGAATGGGCGATATAATGATGCTTTTATACAGTTACAGATCAGAATACCTCCAGCAAGTGGTGGCAAATGGCCATTCAGCAGTGTGCGTATGGAGTCTTGTTACCAAAGAAGGGCTTTGTCTGCTAGTCCACATAGTAGACAGTCCGAGTGCTACTGCTTGATCCTGGATGACATGATGGTGCTTTAGTTCCTGAATGGTCCTTTCCCAGAGGGCGATTACGTCTTATTCCCCTGTGACACATGGCATCTTAAGTGCACTTTGAGCGAGTACACTTAGCTGCGAGTGCCATTTGCGCACTGTCACCTGAGCAACTTTAGTGTCACTCGCTGCACTTAGCCGGCAAGTGTATTCCCCAACCTTACTTCACTGTGACGAAGTGTGTAGCCTCGGTACCAATGGCTTACACATAAACACGCTGTTGCCTAAAGTGGCGCTCATACTATTTTTAAACTAGTGTTTCTGTTATAAAGGATAATGCTATGTATTAAAGCAAGTCATAAATGAACAAAAATTCTCGCTACTCTTACCATCGAGCAGGTTGCGGCAACACCCGCTAGGGGGATGCAGCAGCAAATGCTGTGCGATAGCTGCGTATGTTATGCTGTTTACTTCCAGGCACACTTTCACATGTGTAGGCGAGTCGTTCTACAGTCGTTTACGATGGCGTATGTAACTGGTGCAACTTCCATGAAGACAACGTGTTCGGACGATGAGACATTGGTGCAAAAATAAATATATGTTGCGCTACAAACCCATCGATTGCCACTATCATCATTACTAAAGTACACTTCGCTTTCTCGTGTAGCAGCAAACTGCCAAAATGACACTTTGTGAGCGTAAGTAGACTCGCACAAAGTGCGAATGAGTTGTTAAGTGTGACAAGGGTATTACAGCAAGACAACTCGCCTGTTCACACATCCCAAAAGGTAACAAAGTTTTTCGAAGATCGTGGCATCAACACTCACAACTGGCCACCCCAGTCTCCAGACCTTAACATCATAGAGAACGTGTGGGGCCTCTTCAAAACAGTGCTAGCGAGTCAGTCTCTGCAGGGGTGCACGTTAAAGAACCCCAGGTGGTCAAAATTTCCGGAGCCCTCCACTACGGCATCTCTCATAATCAAATGGTGGTTTTGGGACGTTAAACCCCACAAATCAATCAATCAATCGAGTCAGTCTCTGCATGAAGGCTTTGCTGACAACCTTACGATGATATGTGGGGTCTAACATTCCAAAACCACCATATGATTATGAGAGACGCTGTAGTGGAGGGCTCCAGAAATTTTGACCACCTGGGGTTTTTTAACGTGCACCCAAATCTGAGCACACGGGCATGCACCATTTCTGCCTCCATCAGAAATGCAGCCACCGCCTACGGGATTCGATCCCGCGACCTTGCGGGTCAGCTTAGCCACTAGACCAACGCTTAGCCACTAGACCAACGCGGCGGGGCCTTTGCTGACAACCTCTGGGGGGCCATAAAGGAGGAGTGGCAGTGGCTGAGAAGCGATAGGTCACCGACGGCTGCCTTGTACAACTCGCTGCCCTCAAGAATGGCAGCTGTTGTCGCAACGAATGGGGATGCCACCAGGTATTCAGAGGTGTCTCGTAACATCACAATGCAGTTGTATTTCCTTGGTGTTCAAGACAGAAGAAAATATTTGCTATTTTTATGTAAGCATAATGATATGTGTCATGGCGTTTTGTGATCACAATTTTTCTCTCATGACTTCTAACATATAAAACTTCTTTTTTTCTTCAAGTTTTTTTTTACCCCGCAACATCTCGCTTGCTGTCACCATGGTAAGGGTGCTTTATTCTTGGCGTCACAGCAGCAAACCCACATATACTAAATGCCGAAGTACTTTTTTTTCTCCGCTGACAGATGGGTACATTCGAAGTAAGTGGGATTCAACCTCGAAAGACAATTTTCACAGGGTACACTGATACACTTCACAAAATGAAAACTACAACCAGGCCTCAGCCCAAGTGCATCCCTCTCGCCTAGGCATGTCTAGTTTCGTTAAAGCGCAACTGGCGTAAGCGAATTGCACTTCTAGCGAGTTGCGAGTAACAGTGCTTTTACGTATATACTGTATTCGTGCACCACACTTGATTTGTTTGCAGCAGATGACGCGCTGCAGGTATCGCCGATTGCGTTATCAGAGTGGGAACGTATCAAGCAGCACTTCTGCCAGCCACAGTTAGTCCGAAGGCAAGCGTGCGCCTCGAGACCGGCCATTTTGTTCGTCGATAGATGACGGTGAAAGTGAACATGCTTTTTATCGCTGTAGGCGGCCACCGCAAAGCGCCAGCCACGTGCTTCCTTTCATAAAGGACAACAGAGAACACTGTTAGTAGGAGAGAGTGAACATGGTGTGAGAGTAGCAAAATAAGTCGCCAAACGAGTGGCAGCCGCATTGTTGGTCATTAAATGCCTGTAACACTGGCACTGTAACATCGTCCTGAAAGGTTCTTGCGTTGTACGAGGTGAAAAAACAGTGTTTTATGAAATGAACAAGAAAGGTAGACACACAATGCTGTGTGCGTCTACCTTTCGTACCTGTGTCAGAAAGCTCAATTTTTGTACAATGCCCCACCAACTGGCCTAACGTTATCCACGTCTAAAGTTTTTGGAGCTTCACGTTCACTGTAGACTTGTGTCCTTGGGGAGGTCTGGGGCCCTTTAAGCCTCTGTCTGAACAATTGATCACGAGTGGACACAGTTAAGTGCAGAGATTTCTGTGTCTTTTTAACTGTCATTATGCCTTTTGGGCGGTACTAGCCTAATATGATTATTTTTAGTGGATATATCGTTAATGACACAAATTCGGAAGTCACTATTTTCATACGGCTAGATTCTCACCTCGACAACTGTTTTTTCTTTGTCCTCTTAGGCTTCTTTCCAGCTGGTACCTCGGCGTCACTCCCAGCGTCGTTTTCAGCATCAGACTCATCGCCATCACTCTCCTCGGCTGAAAAGTATTCACATTACGATACGCAAAAGTAAACATACAGTCTGTCACTCTAGTAAAACGTGTGACATTAGTACGCACACTAATGTTTAAGTTGTGACATTATATGACGATAAGTTTCACGGGGCAACACAACAGAATGTAGAATCTAGAGCAACAATGACAGAAACCGGCCGCCGCGCTATAGATGAGTGGTACAAAACAGTGTAAGCATCGATTGCCTACAAAGATAACATAAGATGTATATGATCTACAGACTGCGCTTGCGACGATTTCGCCGCATCCTGCGAGTTTGCTTGTTCCTTAAAAGTGGTTCCTACCCTCTATGGGGAATTGGCCAATATACGAGAGAATGAGTCTCGATCTCGGCAGCACGTACCCGATGGAACGTAGTCTTCATCTTCACTTTCAGAGCTATCGACCGGCTTCGTCAAGTCAAAAGTGGACATTCTGAAATTTCAAAAACTGCTTTACTCAGTACGTCTTTCTGCTGTCTCTTAACAACTGGTTTAGAACGCGATTTAAATGCGCATAACTAACATACGTATGAAAGCGCACAACTAGCACAACGCCAGCAATCGATCTTGGATTGTCTTGCGACTTACGGTCGGTAACGGCTACTATGACGCCCTACCCAACTGTTCTGCATAGTCTATGACCAACGCCTCCTCTAAACCAACGCCTCCTCTAGAAAGATGCCTGAGGAATGGCTCGCGCTCCCAACGAAGTTGGCCTGCCTTCAGTTTTAAACAAGCTCCGCGCGGTGGCGCTCGAGACCGACACTATTATCTCGGCGACGGGCGGTACTAGCTAAGCGTTTTCTATCTGCGTCAGTCGAGAGTTGTTCGAGACCTGCAACTGTGCACCAATAATTCGGAGGTTATGCAAAGTGTTTCGTTGTTGCACGGTCCGCCACAGGTGACGCTAGCGACCAAGAACATTTTCAAAATGAAAAAGAGAAAGGGTGTGGCAGTTGTTTTTTTTTCTCATGCGGCAGGCATCTTCCTAGAGGAGGCGTTGTCCTACGGCTACAAGTAGACGGCTATGAAATGATGAAGAAAGGTTTCCTTTCCTTCCTACGCACGGAGGAAGGAAAGGTCCTCCGTGTTCCTACGTGAGTTAGAGTATAGAGTTTGACACTTATAGAGTGTACTAGAAGTGTAGTGTAGTTGAGTGGTAGGTCAACTGCGCCCACTACCACGCCACTTCGCCGTAATGATAACGCAATGGACAGCCGTAATGGCAGCAGAGCGTGTCTGCGTTAACAACGTAGTGAGCGCAGACAAGAATTAAAATTTTCATGTTCGTGTCACGAGTGCTGCAACAGCTTTGTAAAGCTACGCGACCACTTCACTTGCTGGGTAAGCATTTTTTGTAAAATTTGTTGTCGAACGCTGAAGCCAGCTGAGATCGAAAGTTTCTGACCGTGTACTTGTGTACTTTTGTAGCATAGTGACGTTGAAGCAGGAGCATTCACTTTCTGCCCGTACCGTATTAAACAAAGCTTATAGAAACGTTGCATCAGCTCTATGCCGAGCAAAGTTCTGCCGCGCGCGCTTTCTGCAGCGTTTACCACAATATGGGTTGCTATATTTTTCACTCGATACGAACCTCGTGCGTTCTAAGGTGTCATTTATTTAAAGATTTATAAAAATAAAAGCGTGTTGTGTAAAAACACGAGGTTATTACAGTTGTGCTAGCTTGACAAAAATTGGTCCCGCTTATCTCCAACTGGTGGCAGTGGTGTAGATGTTCAGCGGTGCAGCCCAACTGACCCAGCGTTCTTAGGCAGCCGACATCTGCAGTTGCAGCCCGCAGATTTGAAAACGCGTGACTTGTGTTTAGCTTTGGGTTTTACGGAGTATATACTCAAGGCAAGATAAGAATACGCGGCGTGTACAGGAAGACAGCCGTGGCAACGATGTGTACGCACTGAGAATTCATTTTGCATGCGTTTTCTAGGTGTTTGATATAGTTTCGGACTTCGCATGCACGAGAAGAACATTATATTGAACTGTGCGCATTTATTTGAGCTGTTCGCACACTGATAACTCGCTTATTAGTTTAGATTTTGCTGGGAAGCATTTATCCTTCGTTGCGGCGGTGCGTGTGGACTATTGACAGTATCGTCAATAATCCGAGCGGCGCGCCCGGCCTGCGTTAATACTAGCGCAGTACAATCGTGAAGGGGGATAAAAAACAAGGAACAGGATTGAGTGGAACTAATGTTCACGTTTTACAAGCGTTGCGTCGTCTTAATATTGGAAAATCATCTACATAACCTCAACCAACCATGCGTACCGTGTATTTTGACAATGCAGCCCTTCCTCCCCTTGCAAACCAGAGAAGAAAAAAAAAAAAAAGCAACATTTATTTTAGACCTACTTGCAAGTCTCACTGAAAATGTCATTTGATTTCATTGTGTTAGTTACTCTCTATGCTATGCACATTATTGGTTTATGAACAGTTACCTACGCTGCCTTCCTTTCACACCAACAGATGTTTTGGGTGACAGAGCGCTCCTTGAGGCAGCAAGAAACGGCCGCACAGTGAAAGTAAGCCCGACAATTTTGTGTCAATTTAAGATGGTCAAAAATTTCTTTTTAGTAGCTCTATATGAAATTTTACGTTGTTGCTGGCACATATTTAAAGCAAACCAAATGGTTCACACAAACAGGTAACTGAGACACAACCATAGGCTAATTTTTCTGCCACTATCGCTGAGAGTTTTTTTAGGACTTTGCAAAGAGTTTGCTACTTCTTTTTATGACCATTGTCTATTGAATATTATTTCTGTGCTCGTTTATCAAAAGTGGCAATATTTGAATGGCCATATGAAAGCAAGGGAGACCCGTTGGGTTGCTGTCCATGTGTGTTTTTTTTATGGCCACCTGAAATCAAGGGTGATCATTTGTGTTACAAGTGGTGCCACATCTTGATGGCCGCTTGGAAGCAAACGGGCACTTGGCTGTAAGTGGGACCTCTTTTAACCACTTGACATCCCACTTTAATGATCACCCGGGGTTGCTTCTTGTCATACTCTTTACGCTAACAATGTAAGATCGTAATGAAGTGTCCTAGAAGTACTCACGTGTAATATAGTTATTGTTTAAATGTTGTTGTTTTTTCAGAAGTCAGACAGCTTTCTGCTTTTCTCTCTTTTGTTTATGCCCTTCATTGGTTATCATATCAAATGCAGGTGGCAGTGGAAGGGAACATTGGATCTGGAAAGACAACTTTTCTCGAAGGATGTAAAAGATTTGTTGATACAACAGTAAGTTGCTTGCTGTCACAGCCATCAATATGCATGACTATTCATTTTTTTTTTGTAGTAACAAATAAACATTCAGAATAATCAATTTCCTATTTATGAGAAGTATTCTACCACTGAGGCTCACAGGTGACGGGGTTCTGCTTCTGATACGTAATAAGGCCACAGTTTCGATGACTGCTTGTGGCTGTGCATTCTTATTAATGCAGAAAGCACTTTTGCAACCAGTAATCAATGCAGACTTTGGGTGCACGATGAAGGGGTATCCAGGCAAAGCTTGGTTATCCTTTGTCTAGCCTCTCCTTGAATAATGAGATGGCTGAAAATCAACCGTAGTGCAGGGGCAGAATTCCTTGACTGTTCCTGAAATGGCCAGTTATGCCTATCTTCTAAGGTGACCATTTCATAATGCACTTCAGGTAGAGCGTGGCTTTTTAACATATGCTTTGTTTACATAGAATTCTACCATGTTAGAAAAATTGGAGGTCATGGTCACAAATTGCTATTGCACACACCAGGCAGCACAAGCCACACATTGACCATATGTCACTAAAATATGGATATGCAATGTGCAAACCATTAATTCCTTTTTATTCTGCACAAATTCGCATTGCATAACTGAGAAAGCTTGGTCCCTTGATGTCGCCTTCTGTCAGAGAAAGAAAGCTCTTAAAGGGCCTCTCACCAGGCCCCATAAGAAATTTTAGTTAGACTGTGGACGTTGTTGTATGTCCGATGAGTAGCATTTTGCCTAAAAAATGTTTTAAGTTGGTTCATTACGAGCTGAGAAAACGTTTTTTTGAAGCGGTGCAAAACGAGGATGAGAGAAGGCAAGCTCGAACTCTTGCCGCTCCTCCGCAGCCTTCACAGGCCAAATATTTTCCCTACCCTCTGCGGCATCTGACCAAGAAGTCATGTGCACATGACGTGCCCGAACAAGCCCAACCTTCGTGCACGGAAGCGGCGTTTTTTTTTACCAGCGTTATTTTGTGGTTTACTGCCTGTTTCTGCAGGATGGTTCGGAAATGCTGGCTTAGAAGCGGTAGAATAGATGAGCACATTGAGTGCGCGACTGCGTAGAAGTGTTACTTTTGCTTCCAAGGCTGTCGTCTGTTCGATGTGCTGACCGCGGGGACACGAACGCATGTGGAACGCTGGTTCGTTAGCCCTGCGTCTCGTTGCAATTCACAGGGGAAAATGAAAAAAAGGCACACACATTCACTTATTGCGTCTGATTATTTATCTAGAGTTTTATTAATCTCATCAAGCAACAAATTACATAAACTACGCATGTCGTGTTAAATAATTTTCGTCATGTCCCATGCCACTGTTGGCAACGTCAAAGCACAGTCGTCTATGTAGAGGGCCAACGTCACTGCACTGCCGTGTATGTAGGGCCATTCATTCGTGCACCTCATGCCCTCATTCTCTGGGCGCGCGCCTGCGAAAGGAAGGAGGAGCAGTGTTCGTCTTGAAATTTGACCCATTTCCGCGGCGCATAGCGTTGCAAAATTTTGCCCCATCTCCGCATTGCCCTTGTCAGCTCAAAATTGCCAAACCTGGTGAGCTACCCTTTAATGAAAAAAAGGAGTATTCTGCAAGCGTATATAAGGCGCCTACATGCTACTATGTACAGGGGAAGGGTATTGAGCACAGAAAGGCCTCAGGTGGAGGAGGGCAGAAAAAGAGAGGAAAAAAGAAAAAAATTTTGTGATCATCATATCTCCGCATGATAATGATGATGTAGGCTACATTATAATTTATGAGTTAGGTTAATGTCTTCTAGAAATCTGAACAGGAATTTTAAAATGTGATGATGCTGATAAGGAGGAGCCGGTTTAAGTACTTTCCGAAATTTAGCAGTTCATGGGAAGCTGAGCCTATTCTACTTTGGAAACAAGATCCTTATTTTCTGTGGACTTGACAATCTAAGGAAACATATTCGACTGATTATAATGCGCCTCTGTTATCACAGTATGGGTTGGTGGCCAAACCAAGGTGTTATATGTACCTATTGGTGAATGCGGTGTTCTAGAAAAATTGATGATAAAGTGCGTAGAGAGACAAAGATAGTGATGCAGAAGTCCTGATTTCATGTCAGGGTCTATGGAGCAGAAAAAAAAAGGTTTCGAGGTGAAAGATTTCATACTTGATTCCGTTGTTGGCTGGCGTACATTTTTGTCATTGTTGTCTCATCTGATTTAGTGAAATATGGTTACAAATAAGCAGCGCACGACGTTTTACAAAAGAGAGACGATAGGGACACCGCTGCAGCGGTGTCCCTATCGTCTCTCTTTTGTAAAACGTCGTGCGCTGCTTATTTGTAACCATGAACTATCACCAACTCGCCCAACTTTCGGTTTTACTGGATTTTATTAGTGAAATATGTTCAGCGAATTTTTCACGTGCCTCTCTGTGCAGCTAGAGTCTTCTGTCAGGATATGTATTGCCCTTCATCATGCTCACCCATTATACCATTCTCTAAAGATTTCTGCCATGTGATCACATTGTGACTTTTGACTATTGTATCGTTTTATGAGCATTTTGTGAATGATATTTTGGACGCATGGCTGTGGCCTGCGTGGTGTGAACTGGTGGCGAGATTTGTAAACGTGGCACATGCGCATACAAGCGCAAAGGTAGCACTTGTCGAGTTTCGTCTGCTACTTTGCGTCCCTGTGCTTGCCGAGCGCTTTCGTTTTTCCGCGGAGCGATTCATGTCGCCCCTGGTCTGCCAGCGCTCCATCAGGTAGTCAGCAGGCACACAAAAGGTGGAGCTTGTTTTTTGTTGTGGTGTCTCAGCAGTTCTGACAGGATGCGATTTACACCCGCAGCCATTTAATTTCAAATAAAGGTGATATACCATGAAAAGTTATGCAATTATATTTAGAGGTATGTTAATAAGCACTTAATAAGAATGATAATAAATCTCAGGGTTTAACATCACAGAAAAGCAGTGTGATTATGACCGACGCAGTGGAAGGCTCCGGAAATTTACCATGCTGGAGGTTTAAATCAAAGTACACAAGCCTTGAATATCCCCGCCTCCATGAATAATGCGGCTGCCATGGCCGAGATTTGATCCCGTGACCTGCAGGTGAACAATCGAGCACCATAACCCCTATAATATCGTGGCGAGTTAAAAAAAAACACACTTGAGGATGAAATCTTTTAATCAACACGGCGTGATCCCCGACCATGTTAAGGCTCTGGCTTGCTACATCCCGGCATTATTTGTGTTAACGTTCGAAATCGTGTGAGTTTTAGATTATCGAAGCAACACTGGAAGAAGCTCCATATTCCAAATTGCAATAACATGCACTTTTATGAAAAGTACTGCGCTTCCCCGATATGTGCTCGCATGAAAAATGAATTGCGTTAAACTATACATTGCACTAAACACAAAAAAGGAAATTTATTCGTCATATTTTTATGACGAAAGATTAACCAGGCCAGATCTACGATCTCTTTACAATAGAAGAATGGAAAGCTTTGTTCAGTATTGGGTGATGTCACCTCCAGCGTCAAGTACAGCCTTCATGTATTTGCAGGCAGAAACTTGTACAGAGCTTCCATGAAAGATGAATCGTGCTCAAGTCGCTCCCACTCTTCCTTTACGGAAGCCCGGAGATTATCAACAGATTTGACGTGGGGAGTCACTGATGATTTCATTCTGCCTCATACATTTTCAATTACGCTTAAGTAACGTGATGGGAAGGGGGGGGGGGGGAGGTGGCTGGCACATGAGTGCCGTCACGATCTTCAGTTGCCTAATTTACCACGTCTGCGACAGCTTGCTGACAGTATTCTTTACCGTAGAGCTTGACTATGAAAAGCCTTTCATCCTCAGGTGCCGTAGCCACGCCACGTATGAGAGCTGGCACCACCGAAAATTTGTTCAGTGAAGAATTATGCCCCCGCTGGGGAATTTTGCAAAATTGGTAATGAAGCCCATCACTTGCGTAGCCTATAGTGTCAATGCTCACAGAAATGTTAGTCTTAAGCTCCAGCTGGCCGTCTTTGATAACAGATAAGGAAATTGGTGCTTGATGCAACGAGCATAGCCGGCTCCTCCTTCGAAGCACTGAAACATTACACGGTGTTAGTGCGCACCGAGTGCCAGGGGTGGAAGGAAGTAGCAGTTGACACAGGGCACAAACTGCCCTTGCGATTGTGTACGAATGCTCCGCGTTTCCAAATCTTGCCAGCAGTTACCGCCCTACGGAGCGCTGGTCGCGTGCTCGCATGTTCCCCCTAACAGTGGGCCGTACTGTACAGTCGACCACAAAAGTTTGCGGACTACGCGAGCGCGTGCCAAACTGTCTGTCCGCGCCACCTAGCGGTGCGCCATCTACCGTCGAACGAAGATCTGGGCTGGGAACGGGCCTTCTTCTTATTCACTGGCCTTTCAGTTTTCTACTGCCGTCACGTAGCCCATCGTTCGCAGTTTTCACAAGAAGCACTTATCTGCAGTATGACCATCACATTGCTGTTTTCATAGGAGGATCAAAACTATCATGGCGTGCCTCAAACGGCATTCTGTTAGCTAGGTGTCACTTTCTGATAAAGATTGTGACCGTTATGCTGATAGACTGCTGTCCAGGCAAAAGCTCGCAGACGCAGATGCAAAAAGCCTGTGGCATTGAAAAACGAAAGGTGAAAATTATTTGTACCCATTCAGTAAAGAGACAGGCTGTCGATTAGGGGAGCGATGCTTTCAGGGTGTTGTTGACTGCCGCTGACGTAACAGAACTGTCGCAAAGAGGCTTTTGGCCATACACTGGCGTGGTCCGTAAACTTTTGTGGTCGACTGTACATGTGAGTCAGAAGTTTATGCTTAAAAAAAGGGGGGGTCCCTTAAGCTTCGCCTTTAAAAAATTAACGCGATAGCGAAATCCGTCCCCTAGTGTGTTCTTCAACCGCTAAGTGCATACTTATTAATATGTTGTGTTACATACACACATGCACACACACACAATAGATCCTACCAGCCCGCACGAATG